AAATTTTGACACAGTATAGGCAAGCACTCAACAAGTATGATGCTAGTGATCCTGCCTTAAGTCTACTTCCTTATACTATCCAAAATGAAAGTCACTGTTTGTACACAGATGAAAACAGGTTTGGTGACGCCGCATATGGACAAAGTAACAGGATTTCTAAACTCTACCACTACATGAATCATTTGTTAAACAGATACTACATTCAGCGTTCTACAGTTAAAAAAAAAAAAGTCGGTTTTTGGTTATGGATTTAACAATTACTGAATAGAACTTGTTTTGAGGCCACCTACCGAAAATACCTGGGAAATGGACTAGAAAATACACTCGTAAGCCATTTCCCAAAGGAAACGTTTGGGAATTTGCATTAAATGTGTGTACACTGAAAACATCTTCAGCTTCTAGCTTCCGGTGAGTCAAGCCCCGTTGTTACCACCGAAGCCCTAATGACACGTCTCTTTTTGTTTGTCTGAAAAATTAATCGATTTAAACACCGCCAATCCTGTCCACGCTCGGAAAGAGAGGTAGAAAGGGGCCAGTCTAACTCCAAGGGAAGGGGCATCCCGCCGTCCGGGCGGCCAGGGCCCAGCCCCGGTAACCGATACATCCTCTTCCTCGGTGCCCAACGCCACTAGACCGGGAGGGCCAGGGTCAGAGGGCCGGCCGTGGGGCGGCGAGTCCAGACGCAGGGGACCGGGCCCGCGCCACCTTTCCACCCGCTTCGCACGCCCCAGACACCCGGGAGGCGGCGTCCGCCCAGCCAGGGTCCGGGGAGGGCTCGGCCTCGGGTCGCGCGGGGCTCCTCGGGTCGCCCGCTCCGCCCCCGCCCTGACTCAGCATCCCAGTTTCCCACAGGGGGCAGGAGCGCTCCGCGCGGGCGGTGCCCGGCTCGGCTGCCCGCGTCCGGCGCGGCTTCGGCCCCTCCGCCCGCGCCCGCCTCGCTTACCGCGCCCGGTCTCCGCCGCGCCACCCTCAGCGGGCTCCCGCGGCCTTCTTGCGCCTCAGGCCACTTCCGGCTTCACGAGCCCTGGCCGGGGGCCACGTGACCGACGGCCGGCGCGCGCCGGTGCGCGTGCGCACGCCAGCCGGACCGGCCTGGGCCTCCGCCGCCAATCCCCCCACCGCGGCCGGCTGCCCGAACCTCTGTGGCAAGGGGTCGGGTGGAGGGGTTGGGGCGAGTCTGGAGTCCGATTCCGTCCACACCCTCTTCCTCTGCCTGTCCCCCCTTACTCTGAGGGAGAAGCCGCAGAGCCCTGCGCAGTGAGCACAAGGGTTCAGATTCCCACAGCTGTAAATCCCGGCCCGTCCCCGACAGCCAAAGGCGGAGTGCGGGAGTGGGGAAGAGACGGCGGAGCGGTGATTACAAACTTGCAAGTAATCCCAGGTGTGCGGAATGCGCGACACGTGAGGAGCCATCACTGTGGGGATCAGTCTGTATGTATTTTAAAGGCCACGTTGACCACAGGAGGGCCAGATTATTGCCTAATTACTCAAATTCGGACATGAGATTCTTAATGTAAATCAGTTCATTTAATAACTCCCTCTTTTTAGACGGTATTTTGGAAAATGGTAACATTGGAGAATCTAAGGACCAAAATCAGATCTCCTGCAGTGTTCCTGCCGCTAAGATCTCAAGCAGCTATTCCTGAGAGTGATCTCTTCTGCCCACTGATAGCACGCAGCCTTTCTGTCAACGTAGAGGCCACAGAGACATCTGCTGGCGGGGGCTAAATTCTGAGGGAGGGAAGAGGAAGGAGTTCTTCCCAGATGAAAACGATAGGAACCAGCAATAAAACAGGAAACCACGGCAGAGTAGTTAAGAGCAGAGGCTCTTGAATGAACAAACCTAGGGCTTCAGTCCCAGCTCCCCCTGCCAAATACCGACTCTAAGCAACTTTCTGTTTTTTTAACCTACGCCTGTTTTATCATATATCGTATGTACCATGGAGATAAGAAAAGCCAACTGTAATGCGTTGTTACACATGAAGTTACTTTATTAAACTTTTAAACAAAGTTTATATCTATATGCTGCTTACAATTCCAACTAATTTTAGTTCTCCCCTATCTAATGCCAAGAGGAGCCGCAAAGTTCTTCACAGCAGTCTGAAGGCCTCGATTCACATGTTTACCACTTAAGTGATGAACAGAAATACATTTCCTTAAAGGTCAAGCTATTTGTGAACCAATTAATGTTACTATTTAAGATTTAAATAAACTGCTAGGCACAGAACTATACCAGGCATAAAAAAACTCTTGTGGTTTCATAGTTAAGTCATGCAAATCTGTCTTTTTGCCCCAATGACCTTAACCTGTTACCAGGTGAGATTCACCCTTGAGATAATTTAGGTGTTTGCTTTTGGAGACTAAGTATAGTACAATTGAGGTAATCCATGAAGGAATGGAGTTTCCCAATTGCTATGGTTCTCCCTAAGTAAAGTGCTCTGGGCAACTTCAGGGAAGGAAGATGGGAATTATTACACACGATTACATAACATGAAGTTTAACTTCTATTATAGACTCTTAATTTCCATGGTTTGATTTTGCTTAGCTCTGAACACTTGGAATATTCTGAAGGGCTTTAAAAAGCCAGGGGAAAAGGAGGTGGTGTCACCTTTACATATACAGAATAAACTGTACAGTGATAATAGCTATATCAAGGCTTTGTTTGCAGATGTGGTAATAAGCTCTTTTCATGTTTAACTTACTCAATTCTTAGTCATGAGGTAGTTATCATTTCCCCCATTTTACAGATGGGGAAACTGGGGCAAGGAGAAGTTACCTAACTTGCTCAAGGTTCTGAAACTAATTACTGGCAGGATTGCTTTCTGAACCTCCGTAATTTGGATCCTGAGTTCAAAGATCGCTGCAACAGGTGCAATGATCTCTCCCACAGTACAGGGGGACTTGTCAAAGAGACAATTAGCTCTCACTCATCTATTTTTAAAATCATTTTCATCAAAGTACAGTCGTCCCTCAGTATCCACAGGGGAGTGGTTCCAGGACCCTCCCCCCAGATACCAAAATCCTTGGATGTTCAAGTCTCTCACATAAAATGGTGTATTTGCATGTAATCCATACACATCCTCCCATATACTTAAAATCATTTCTAGATTACTTATAATAACTAATGCAATGTAAATGCTATATACATAACATTATATATATGTATAATGTTGCCCAAGTGCAGCAAATTCAAGTTTTGCTTTTTGGAACGTTCTTGAATTTTCCTGAGTATTTTTGATCTAGGGGTGGTTGAATCCATGGATGTGGAACCTGTGGAACTCAGAGGTACAGAGCACCAGCTGTATAATATACATTCCACTAATCTGTTTTTACAATTGTCAACTTGGTTTACCTTTATTCTATGATGTAAGGAAAATGTTTAAAATCTCTTCTGGAATGAACTCCAGGAAAAGATTTATGTACAAAATTTAGGATATAATTTTAGGAAGTTTGTAAGACCACTGGAGCCCATCCGTGAAACCTCTAGGGACCACATGGGCCAATGGTTAAAAAGAGCCTCAACCTGCCCCCCCACCCCTAAAATCCTACTTGGGCTTTTATAATTTAAACTTAATTGATGACTGTACGAATTCCGCTGCTCAGTTTTCTCCGTCTTAATTTTCCAGTACTACTACGGATATTATTTGTTTTCCTGCTTTCTCGCACAGTCATGGATATAAATGGGGGAAGGCGGGGAACTAAGTGGGCAAGCCACTACTCATAAGCATCATAAACACACATACCTATCCTGTGCCCTGCATGAATCCAGTAAGAAGGGAAAGACCAGATTTTTAATTCTATCAACATTTTCACACAGGCTTTTTCTAATGCATTTTAAAAGAGCCTAAATTATTTCACAGAACTAAGTTGCGTGTGATCTTTTAGAAGCATAATTAAATCATCCATACACTTAGATATGCAATCCTTTGAATGGGAAATCAGGGAGAGAGGAGAAAATAAGGTTGAAGTATTTATAATAACTCCAACAAAGACTTGGTAGATTTCACTACGTAAAATTTATTTGCCTTTTTTTCTTTTTATAAAAAATGTATAACACCAGCACCTACTCTTCAATCAGTTAATTTATGAAACCATTCTCTTCTGTAGAATACACAATGGCATTGAAACAGTTTAAAGAAACGTAAAGGCTATCTACAAAAAATTAGTTTTGATTTATTGTATTCCCCCTGTACTTTATGAGTCTGCACACATAGAAGAAAATTAAAAATTAAAACATTTTATATTCAGCAATTAAAAAAAAGTACACTGTTTTCCAGCTATGGTCTTTATAAAGGACTTAAAAGTTTCAGGTTAAAAAAAAGGTACTAGGATAAGTCTGCTGCATATTATAACAGCACTTTTAGATAGAACGATTTGAACTGGCATGCAAGCAACTTCTCTAGTTGTCACATACCTGTAATTCAGGGAAAATTACACCCATTTTACTGAAAAATCCCAATACATATACTGCAATAAGCTCAAAGCAATGTTAAAAAGACCAGTGTGAATGGCACACAAGAACTGCTTCTTTATAAATTAACTGGAATTCCTGGTGATGAAGCAGGCACAGGGAGGTCCAGTCCTTAGGGCTTTGCTCTCTGGAAGAACACCTGTAAATAAAGTACACTTAGTGCTGATGTCAGAAGAAGTCACCTTCTACCTGAAGAACAGCTCCAAGTTACTGGGTGCTAGTCACTCTTGTAAAATACAATGAACTATTTAAAGTATTTCACATACTTCATAAATCCACACATAATACAAGTTAAGAACTTTCTCATCTGGACAATCTGATAAGGTCTAGAGATAACTTAAGTTGCCATTACTAAGCTGAGAAACTAGTGAAAATGTGGTTATTACCGCCAATGCTAAGAGATTCAAACAGTCAGAGGAAAACATGCTCTTGACACCTTTTTGCCGATTGGCACTACTTTCAAAGTTAATGGTAAGAAATTAAATTTTGAGGAAGAAATAAGTCAAAGCTAAAGATAACGGCTGTTATCCTTTAAGGAATTTACTATTTATTTATTATTAAAAAAAAATACTTCCAGTTCAACATTTGAGACTATGAACAAGTAGGCAAGAGGCTGTGCTAGGCACTAGCCCAGTACCTTCCACAGCTGGGTAGATATTAAGTGCACACTAGAAAGAGTAAATAGTAGGCAGTAAGCTCAGTAAGAATAAGGATTGTAGTAACCATTATATCCCGAACACCTCATAGACCAGACATTCATTTAACAATTATTAACAATCTACTAAATAGAGAGAAAAACTGATTGCTACATGAGCAAAGGAAAGCCTTACAAAGAGGCCATGTTTGAGAGAAGCCTAGAAGAATGGGTAGAATTCATAAGGGAGAAGGTTGCTAATAAGGCAGGATTACTGAAGAACAGCAGGAATAGTAAAGACTGTTTCTGCACGAGAAACCATAAATGTAGTCTGAGATTAGAACATGAAAAAAAAATAGCTAAATGCCAAACTAAGAGACATGAACATTTTTTTAGTCAACAATAGGTTTATGAAGATTATGGGGAAGGGGAATGAATTTCAGAGGACAGAGATCAGCTTGGATAGAACAAGGGAAGGGAAATCAGAGTGAGATAACATAAGCCTACAGAGTGGCAGCAGAGACAGAGAGGAAGAAAGAGTCAGCTGGATCAAATAATCAGATAGGAATAGAGTCGGCACAAAGAAGGGACTTCGTTTTTTCCAACTAGAAGAATAATGCTAACACTGAAGAGAAGTAGGGCTTGGGAGGAAGACTTCAAATGCTTTTAGGTGAATGTGTTTGGAGCATAAGACTGCTACAATGTACTTCGATCTGCTGTTACAGATACCTGTAATAGAAAGTTACAGTTTTTTTAGTCCTTTAGTCCAGTGTGATTGAACAGTTATTTAACAGAGGTAACTTCCACAGACACTTTGCTTTTATGGGGAAATGGGACAGGGGAAGGTTCTCAATGATAAACAATAATTCTCAATATCTTCTCACAAACGCTTGTCAGTTTAAGCTGACAAGGGGAAAAAACTAGCAAAGGAAGATGTTAGAACAAAGTCAAAGGATGGTATGTATATTTATCAGCAAAGCCCCTTGACTTCAGTGCTTTGGGCCAAAGAACCAGGGAGCCACTCATTAAGTTACCCGCCACCATGAGTTTTAGCACAGTACTTTATTCTCAAATTTGTTGAATGAAGATAATAAATAATAAAAATAAAGACAATTCCTTATCCTGTCACACTATAACTTTATTTCCAGACTAGGAGCTCCTTGTGGGCAGGAAGAGTCATTCATATTGGTATTTGCAGCAATTAGCATAGTGCCCATTACCCAAAAAGTTGTCCCTGAGAACAGAATGACTCGAGCGCCTGGATGAGAGGAAGACAGATTTGTTTCATGGATTTCACTGTATAATGAATACCAAATAAACACCTGGTACTTACCACCAACTCGGAGGTTGGCTGGTTTGTTTTAATTCGGTGATTTTATGAATGTAAAAAGAGCCTTAATGACCAAATCTGAGGATTCTGGTTTTTTGTCCATTTTACAGTTAAAAAGCTTCAAGATAGGTTTCAACTAAGTAACTCATACTTCTGCTTTTGATCTTTAGCTCTTTCCTTCCAACTCAATATGGACAGTTGTTCTTAAACATGACTTATCCTCCCAGTCCTATAGTTCCTATTTAATCACATCACAAAACTGTAAAAGAAAACTGACATCTTCATACCAACTTGCTCATACACATACCCTTTCAGTGTGCTTATTAACTTTCTATAATCTTACGTACAGTTCAGTTGAAAGAAGCTTCACAGAAAACTCTGAAGGATAACATCTATTAACTGGATTCTTAGAAGCAGGTTTTAGAGCAAAGAAATCCCCCAAACACGTAACAATTGGTCAAACTACAGTATGACACACTATCGTGTAATATGTATTCTCTCTTGGCTCTGACACATCACCTAACTATATGAAGATAAGGAAGTTTTCCAAATACCTACCTTTAAGTAGTTTTTAAAAACTTTAGCATCAGGCTGCTGAAGCGCCTGACAAAACTCCTGGGAGGCCACGGGGAGAGGAGAGAGAGAAATGAATGAATCTATTTGTATTACAGTCATCATAATTCAAAGCCACAGTATTCTTTAAAAATTGTGATAGAAAAACCATAAAATTGAGCACTTACACATTTTATTTATGTATATAGTATAGCAGTGTTAACTATATGCACACAGTCATGCAACAGATCTCTAGAATTTTTTAATCTTGCAAAATTGAAACTGTAGGTACCGATGAACAACTCCCCCTCCCCCACTTCCTCCAGCCCCCCAGCCACTGCTATTCCACTTTCTTGTTTCTAAGAACTGGACCACTTTAGATACCTCATATAAAGACTGGCTTATATCATTTCATGTAATGTCCTCAGGGTCTATCCATGGTGTGTGTAGCCTATGGTAGAATTTCCCTATTTTTTTTTTTTAAAAGGCTGACTCATTCCATTGTATGTATATACCGCATTTTATTTATCCATTCACCTGTCAACGGACATTTAGGTTGCTCCAAATCTACAGTATTCACATTATAACTTATCAAAATTAACCTGGACAGTTCCTCACCAAAAGGTTATGTGACGTTTCCAAATGCAACACTCGTCAGACAGGCTGCTTTCATTTTGGACAACATGGCTCTCCTGGACAAGGCTGGCTCCTGCCTCAGCAGGGTGAGTGGGACCAAAACTACACGGCTAGGCCCATCCTCACCCAGTAAGAGGGGGAACTGAGCAGAGCCACACCAAAAGAGAAAGACAAAATCCTCTTCAACAGAATTGTGTAAAAATGTTGTCAAAGGGCATATGAAAAAGGGAAAACTGGGAGTCGTTATTTTTATAAGCAAATAATTAGACAGAAATGTAGTAATTTTGCTTCATTTAGCAATCTGGGAAACTATTGAACTATTCAAAATTGAATGATGTATTTCTATTTTGATAGGCATTAGGATCATATGAGTAATTAGTTAATTTATTATTTTCATAAAATATTAATTTACTTATATAATAAATGATAATAGAACATTCATTAATATCCAAGTTAAAGATAAGTCATGAGATAATAAACTCATTAAAAATGAATTTTATGATTATTTTGAGATCTATTTTTCAGCATCTTTTATAAAATGAAATTATAAAACAACTGTTGATGAAGAAACATTTCTTAGAATCTACACAAGAAATTCTAATTTTAATCAGACCTCTGATGCCTCATTAGATCTATGTGCTGTTGGACAAGTCTGGATACCTATATGCCCAGAAAACGGAATGCCTTCACAAAAATGTCTTTGAAGTACTGCAAAAGTTTAAGACCGCTTTCCAGTCACTAACTTCAAAATATGGTTTCAGATTGATGAAGTAACCATTGATAAGCCTGGCCTACGTAAAATCAACTGCCTGGCACAAATCTTCAGAACAGAGGTTCACGTGCCACAGCCTGCTCTGGAAGTCTTGGGGAGCCTACTGGATTCCTTTTAGCATGTTTTAAAAATACATTTATAATATATGGGATTACAAAGGAAACTAATTATAATGAATTATGGCTATCAAATATATTTTTGATATGTGGCAGAATAAGAATTACTGACTCTGATAACAAAGTCTGGTGGCATATATTAGTAACTCATAATTTCAAAAAATTGAAGTATAATATTTTGAGATCTCTGGAACAACTAATGTGACACAAAAACATTTGTGATTTCTAGGGGGACAAAGTCACAGGCAATGCAAATATGACTGTGATTTGTCACTTACACAATGATAGGAAATTAAATTTCTCTTAAAAGTAGTGAAAATAAAAACAATTTTTTCCCATTCAATTTCACAGGCCTATGAAAGTCTGGACTTTTGCTATCCTACACACAGTAAAACATCAAGGTGAATGCAATCTGACCTTCCAGAATCAAAATTTATATTGAACTGCATAGCTGTATTTCTTTAATTAAACTAAGGAAAACCTGCTAGGACAGCTCTTACCTGAATTATCTCCGGAGCTACTTGCAAGGAAGGCAGGTATTCTTGTTGCAGATACTGAACACATTCTGGGCCCTGAAATTAAATTGGAACAATATATGTATACTTTAAACACAACATGGTATTGTGATTAATAACACAGATTCTAAAGCCAGACTGCTTTGGTTTGAAGCCTGGACCCTGGCAAATTTCTGGTAACTTGGGCATGTTACTTAACCTCTCTGAGCCTCAGTTTCCCTATCTGAAAAATGGAGTTACTGTGAGGACTGGATGAGTTAAGAAATGTAAAGCTTTTAGAATAGCACTTACCACTCACAACATGTTAACATTACCTAGTGTTATGCAGTGCTAAAGATTAAACAAATACTCTTCTAAATGCAGAAGGTCACAATGCCAGAGCCTGGTTCCACGCACTGAAAGGATGCTGCAAAGAGAGGTGCTCCTGTTTCAGTCTACCACAGGATGGACTATAGAGTGTCTATTGGTGAGCGAGGGGAAGCCTGTGGGCAGTGCCAGGATAATGAACATCTTAACAAAAAAGCACGCCTCCCTTTTCTGTTTAAGAAACTAGGAAACAGAAATTTAGTAGCCAGGTGAGGAAACCAAGACCCAGAAAGATGGGGTGATTTGCCCAGTCTGCTGTTAATTAAGTCTACTAAAATGCAGGGGACCAGACCTCTAAAACCCTTGTTCTTCATTGCCAACTGCTTGCACTATTAGATGCTGAAACGGTAATAATAGTTTTCTGGGATTTTGAGGGGAGGGTTAAACTCTGTGGAGGGAAGGAAGAAGCCCTACCCCTAAGCCCTATCCCATCTCAGCAGCTAGAGGAACTTAGGATGCAATTTGAAAATGGTTTTCCAATAGCAATTTGTTTTTGAGAGGGTGGCCTCAACCAAATATAATAAATCTAATACTTCAAAAAATAAAACAAACAAACAAAAAACCCAACACAACAGCTAATTTCACTTTCAAACTTGAATCTGACTTAAAGGCTTTAATATGTTAATGACTCCAACTTGGTCCAACTGAAAGTAATAGTTACTAAAATGAAATCAATCCAATTCTCCTCAATGTATTTCTCCCTGTATTAACACCTGGATTTTCCGTTTAATATTACTGCTCCTGAATCAAAAGATTTCTTTATGTTTCCTCCTCTACCCTGCCTCCTGGGCCTCTAACCCAATGGATCTCGGTCACGATTTAATGACCCTTCAAAGGAAACCTGTTCCTGAAAGGAGGTAACACTGCATTGTTTGTGAAAGTTTCTCACATCCCTTCTGCGTTCCTCCTCACCTTTTTCTTTAGTCTACTCTCCCTAACACTTAGTGCCCCTACACTGCTCACCATCACATTTTAACCCCACTGTTATCACTTAAAAATGGAGTGTTTTTTTTTAAAATCAGGAACAGTATAAAATCAGTAAACTTATACCTCAAGAGGAAGTCAATCAGGTAAATAAACAAGAAGATAGAACAACGAAGCAAAACATTTTCAAATATAATGTTCCATTTGACTCAATTCTGTGTGTGTCTAAACGACAGCTTTTAAGGGACAAGAGAAGAAATTCTGAATTGTTAAGTATCATTCTTACTGTTTGTTATTCCTCATCCTCCTTGACTCTCTAGCATCCAACAGTGTCAGCAAGTCTCCTCTCTCATGATTCTCTTCCCTTAACTTTCATACCTTTGGTTCTATTTCTAGCTTTCTCTTGACCCTTGCTCTAGCCAAAGTTCTTTCTGTCTTGGTCTTAGAAAGTCTCATTCATTCCTACTATTTCACCTTAACTAACTACAAATTGAGTATCCCAAAATCAGTACTTAGTTCTAACTGCTTCAGACCCACATTCCAAAGAGTTGTCCAAACATTTTTTCCACTTAGTCATCCTAAATTACAACCCCACTGCCTACTGACTTTCCAACTTTCCCATGGAACACCCCTAGTCCCATTGTAGTTTTTAGCTATTTTGCCTCCACACTTTAGCTAAACAGGGTAACACTATTTTCTACCAAATCTACCGTCTGATCTGTCTTCATACACCTATCACTTAAGTTTGCCCAGAATGCCAGCTCCTCGTCAGTCCAATGAATCCACATTTGTTTTAAGGTCTACCAAACACCAGAAAAACACCCCCTCTTTCCAATCGCTGTCTTAGATTGCCCTCAAAGGCACAGCTGCTCCTTCATTTTTAGTCCCACAGTATTACGTTTGATACAAATGTATTGATTTAAAATACCTTTATTAAAGTAGTTACTTAACTCATCCCACTCAGTTGTTCAGGTACTGGTCTCCCTGATTCTAAGATCCACAAATACTGGGTGATTTTTTATTCATCTTTATACAGATCCCCTGCAGCTCCAAAATACCTACCCCTCACCTTAGCACACAGCAGACATAGTGAAAATGCTGAACTGAAAACCCTTCAAATTTCTTTCAGAATCAAAAATTCAAGTTCAAATGAGGGAGTGGGCTGAATGGAGACTCTGAACAAGACCTCATGCTTTTCTTGGGAGGCAGAGGAAAGCTGCCGCTCAAGAGCTGACTGCAGCTATGCAGGAATGCCAGTCCTGTGGTGGCGTCCCGGCTTTGAGAAGTTAAAGACAGAAATTTTCGTTTAAAAAAAAAAAAGAAAAAGAAAAAGCCTGATTTTAAAATGTTTTTAATCAGTTCAAATTATTTAAAAATATTGTTTAAGGCAAACAACACGTCAGCTAGATTCAGCTCAGAATCACCTATGATTCATACAGATGATTAGACGAACAAAGAGAACGGACAATGTAAGGTAGCAATGTGCTCTAACCAATCTGTAGTACAAAGAAGTTGGACAAACCTGTGCAGAACCTACTAGGTTCTGAACTCTGAATCTTGAAATTCTGATTAAGATTTTTCACATTGTTTGCCAAACCAAAGAAACATACACTTTAATCTCCCAGTTACCCAACACAAAGTACAATAATGGATACTGCTACTTTCAGCCAACCCCTCCCTCATATCCAAAAATGTCAGAACCGAAGTTAATTAACTTTTATAAAAGATACAGCTTTCATAAACAAGACACACTCATGAGGGGAGGATATAGCTCGGTGTCAGAGTGAGTGCTTAGCATGCACAATGTCCTGGGTTCAATCCCCGGTACCTCCTTTAAAATAAATAAACAAACCTCAATATAAATAAATAAACCTAACTTACTCCCCTGCCAAAAAAAAAAAAAGAACAAGACATACTCAATTAAAACCATGAGAAATATATACATGAGATAAAAGTGAAGTGGTATGGAGCTTACCCGTTTGAGATGAATTGTTTTCAGTGTCACTGCACACTCGGACAGAGCCTGTGAAAAACAAATTTAAGAACTTTAATATTGTCAGTTCTTGGTTACTGATCCAGTTTTTCTCTTTATTTCCCCAGCCACTGCTCATTAACATTTACCTCCAAAGAAAGGATGGAGAAAGGAAAGGTAACAGGCAGATAGAACAAGTGGATTAGATAGAAAATTCAGAAGATAGAAAAATACAAAAATGCTGTCTAAATACAATAAATGATAATTATGAAACCTAGCTTTTACTAGGTCCTGGGGAAATGAGTAAAGGGCAACTATTTGACATTAAGTATTCTGCAGATGAGATCTGGGGAAACTATCATTCAAGAAAGAAAAAGTTACTCGTGAACTTGAATTAGAAAAGAAAACATTAAGCACAAGTTTTAGAATGAAAGTAGCGGCGTGAAACTAATAACTCAATCAAGCTTTAAACAATGCTTGCATCACCCCTTTCATGGTCTAAGAAAAAGAGCCTTGGATGTTAAAGTTGGAGGAGCTGGGTTTTATATATTCAACTTTAACATCAGGACTTAGCAAGAATCCACAAAAGATCCAAAAGGTACCATCAAGTTTTAAAAAATAAATCTTAATTTGAAATTATCTTTAAAAAGAGGGTATTGAAACCTAATATAATCGCCTGGCATTAAGGAAGAAATTGTGAGTTAGAATGCAAGATCTACACACGGTAAACAGAGATTCCTAGATGCTTACCAATACTGTCTGTGCATCTGCCAGGTCAAAGGTTTGTTTTAAAGGTGCTAGGAAACATGCGGGGACAATGTGCTTATAAACAAAATCAGCAAATCCCACTGGTCCATCTTTACCTCCTGTCAAGAGAATTCAAATTTTCATCTTTTATAAAAAGAAAAATCACTTAATTTATCACTGGGAAAATCAACTCCCAGCTCCTATGTTAGGGCTGGGATCTCATTTCATCTCTCTTGTCTTAGAAAATAGGTTGGGGAATGAAGTTTTGTTATTTTTTAAAAATCATCTTACCCCAGAGTTCTACCAACTTGGAGAGGATAATAAAACACGTTTTTTGGGCAATTGGATCTGGATATTCAACTGCTCCTTGAATAACAGTGACCAGCACTCTTTCTACATTCTCTGCACCTGAACAGAAAAGAACATTTGTGTTCAATCTCAAAAAGAACTAGAAAGCTAACCTGAAGCTTTCACTTCATATACATTAACAAGACAAAAGCATTTACAGAGTTGATAAGATCCCTTTATATTAACATGACTTCTAAGTTTTCAGCATAAAACACTGAAAAATCACTATTCCTTTATTATCTTGTCCTCTGGATTTCTAGACAGCAAAATTCTGTTTATCAATACAGTCCTGTTCATTTTTAATTTCAAAATGACAATGTACCTGGTAAGATTCAATTGTATGGTCGATTCTAGCAAGTAGCCACCATACTATTTATACTACTAAGGAACAATTAAAGAACACTGCTTTAGGAAGAAGGGAACTGAATATAAATTGTAAGGTCCTCTATGTGAAAGTGATTCCCACCCTGATAAATCCACTGTCATCCTTGGGGCCAACATATACCACTTCAAAAGTTTAGCGTTCACTTCACCTAGCTCTTGCTCATACAGATGTGTAACTGTGGCAAGGACTTAAGGAGACAACTTAGGCACTGCATGCATCCCCACCTTGATTTGCTATGACTTCACTCATTCCACTGCCTGTGACCGTTTGCAAGAAAGCAAAGTAACTCCTCCTCAACATTTGCTTCTCTAAAGCAGCAGACTGGTCATTTTCTTCCGCTGGTCGGAGCAAAACTTCAAAAATTGCATGAAGAAGAGGCATGAACATTTGTTGTAAAAACGGCGATACCTGTATCTGAAAAGAAATAACTATTACTACTTCAGAAATAAGAAAACTACAAATATGAAACTTAGGAAAACCCATGTCTTACATAAAGCCTTTTCCAGAGATTCTCAGAATATTTATTTACATAATTCAGTTAGCAAATATCAATGTGAAGACAAAAACCTACATAGCATATACATTATTGAAAGCCCCAAGATTGCTAATTTTAACCCACTTCCTATAGTTCAAGATTCAGGTTCAAAAAATACGGAGTCAGACATATTTCACAATCAAGTATTGCTATGGAATACTTTCAAATCTAAATTCTCAATAAATGAATTCTACTGCTAAATTTTAAGTGAGTTTCTATGACTGAACTCAAAGGCTTTACGTGCCCTTAGATAAATTCCTTAACTTCTGTGACTCAGTTTCTTCATCCATAAAATGATAACTTACCTTCTAGGTTGTTACAAGGATCAAATGAATTAATATCTAAGAAAATACTCAGAACAGATTTGGAATGTAGGAAGTACTATGTGTTAGTAATTTTTATTAAGCAGCTTGAACTTAGCTTAAATTTCCTTGTACATAAAACTGATATTGAATTACTTTCAAACTCCTGTTTCGGCACCCAAATTACAGTGCTTCTAATGTAATCTTTAGACATTTAGTACTCAGTGTTGTTTTATTTGCTTTTTCTAAAACACCAGACTAATAGTTTTCTTCTGCTGCATAGAATAGCTAAGGTCTTTTCTTATTAAAATATCTATTAAGCAAGTCCTATGTGTCAGGCAGTGTTGTAGACATTGGGGAGGATAAAAGTACATATAATCCATGCCCTCAAATAACTCATACTTAAAAAAAAACCAAGGAGCAAATGCTAAAATGTATCTAAAGAAAATACATCTAATCTTGAACTCAGCAGATCTTCAAAGTCAGGAAGTTCTCCAACCTCTGAAAGTTGGTGGCTACCTTAAATTTGGCTGTAATCTGGTTGATGAGAGGAATGAATTCCTGGAGGTCTTTTGCTTCACAATCTTTGAGCATGTGTTCCGAGGCAGATGGAATGAATGGAAGGACTTCTTCTTCCAGGCAAATAATCATGCGATGAAGGAAAGTGCGAACTCCACTTCTGAGAATATCCTTTTGTAAGGGACAACTGAGGGCTGGCAAGAACGTCTGTAAACAGTCCAGATAAACTTCGGAACAGCCACATTGTTTCACAGTCTGCTTGTTGCTGAAAGCTTTGCTGGTCCGACTATATAAACAAAATCAGGTAACTAGTTTTAAATTTGTTCTTCAAATGTTTTATGGAGTCATCAAAAACAAAGCACAACAAATTACAAAACAGAACAAAGAACCCAATTCTTTATTTTCCATGTCACAGATACGTCCACCTTTGGCTACTATGGTTATTTGTAAACTACAGCTTCCAGTTACCATTCCAGAAAGGGCTCAAGTTAAATTAAATGAATAAGATATGATTAATACAATCTCTCAAATATGTGTCTACCTAAATGTCTTACTATATCTGTAAACTGTCAATTTATATTTAGGGAATAATCCTAGAATCAAGTTGTTTATACACTATCTCTAACATTAGCTTTTGCACTGAAGTCTCCTGTAGAGCAATTTCTCTGTATAGTTCCTAATTAGCAATCACTGTAACTTTCATGCTGTTATTGTTTGCCAATAAAAAGTTGGTTAGAGAGAAAGAAATGGCAGCTTAGGTGGTCTTTGGGACACAATGCAACGGCTAAAAAGAAGCCTCAGTACCTTTTCTTTAAGGTCCCAAAACTGATCACCCAGTGTCATTGGTATATGAACACTTAAGTTAACCTCCTTAAACACAAAACTAATTTACATCAAAGAAGTCAGAGGAGTTAAGGATTTAGATAGCTGTCAAGCCAGAAATACCAAAAATTATATGATCTATTCCTTTCTTCAGTTTAAACTTCCAATTCACTGAATTTAGAAAAGAAAGGTTTAGACAGCTGTGGAAACACAGATATGAACACCCAATTCTAAAAGATCCAAGTAAATGATTCTGTGCATGTTGAGACAATCCCTACATAGTTTTTACTGCGATCACACTCACCTGGCAAATCCAACCGCGTGGTTGAGACAGTCTGCTAGACATGCCTGCCTTTCTTCGTCCTGTGCCATCATCAATTTTTCTAACAGAATTTTAAACTTCTCCATGAGTGGAGTCAACAGATTCCTCATTAGCGCTTGCTTCCGTTCTGCTGGGTACTCACTATTAACAATCAGCACTCCAGCTGTCTCATAAATGAATAACTGATCATCACTGCTCAACAAAGACTGGTAACCATTCTCCTAAAATGAAATTCAGTCTTATTAAAGTGTTTCTTTGTTCAGCTCCTCATTTAAGCAGAACTAGTACAGGATGGAAAGGAGATGTAATCTATCACAGCAACTCGTTATTAAAAAGAAGATCTGAGAGATTTCTCCCAAAACTCGTATAGTGGAAAGAAAACTGAATTAGAGGTCAAAATATCATGGGTCTAATTCTACCCCAACAGGACTTCATAAACGGTTATATAAGCTAATTATTAGTCTTCTAACTTGTTTTCTTTTGTAAAACTTATTTGTAAGATTATTATGAAGCTGAATATGAGGTGTAAAAAGGCTCTTTGAATGTTAGTACAAAGGCCATACCAGCTAGTATTTTAAGGAGTGTTTAAGAGTTGAGTAACAACAACCACCACAAATAAATACAAACAGTTGTTATTTAAGACCCTTTGAAAACAAGATTCCAAGTGAAAAACAAAATCTCATTCAGGCATAAGCAAACGTCCCATACAATGATCGATTTTCATTAATGAGTTTTGTTAGCTTTTACATTTGTGCAGGCAGAGGGGCCAAGGAAGGGGAGGGTATCAGAGGACCATCGAAGTCCAACACTAAAGCTCACTACTGACTGTAACTCAATAAAAAAAATGTTAAAAACAAAAAAAACCCCACTAAAGCTCACTGTTAAGAAATTATTTAAAAACCTGGTCTTAAAACAGGTATCTATGCAGAGGTTTTACTACTTTAAAAAATTCTCATCTATTAAAAGAGAATGTCCCCATTTAGAATTAACTACACCATTTATCAAGTATCACTGGGACTAATCACTGGCTCTGGGAGTTAAGAACACAAAGATAAAGTAGCTATAAATATAAGGTCCTTATAACCCTATTAAGCAGCAGTCAGCATTCATTAAAAGCCTATGTATCTTGTAATAACCTATAAGGAAAAAAATACGTATATATATGACTAAGTCACTGTACTGTACAACAGAAACATAACATTGTAAATTAATCATACTTCAGTTTAAAAATAAAAGCACTGTGAATCAAGTCTTTTCATATACTAAAAAAAAGATTACAGTTACAGTGCAAGTCCTTATTTATACGTACAATATGAAAACCAAAAAATTTCCAATATCCGTAAGATAGTATGGCTAAATATGGCTTTCTGAATGCCTATGGCTTGTGGATCAGTGTGAACTGCCAAGGAAAACTGGTACTAACCAGGTGAAGTACTTTAATATATAGGTTTCTACAGGATGTAGGCAAAGATAATTTAACCAGATAATTCACTAGCAACCTTTTATACAGTGCAATTACATATCCTTTGTACCCTAAATACTGATAATTACTTTAAAAAAAGAAAATATTATTTTATGTTTAAAACTTCTCAAGTGGCAGCTCTAGTAGTAACTTTCATCAAAATGAAAGTCAATGTCAGTATTTTGTTTTACATAAAAACATGCCATCAGTCAAAATATTATTACAAAGTATCTCAACTTAAATCTTTCTAGAAATGGACATAGAAATATTCAGATCAACCAGCATTTAATTTTTTTTTACCCCAAGCCTGAAGTTTCACAGAAAAACTTTAGTCTACTAGTAGCCACCACTGAGAATGGCTAATTGATCACAGTCTAAAACAGAGAATAATTTAGAAAATGAATTTTCCCTTCTCCAAAAAATACTTCACCAGCATTAAACAGTACAGAGAGCAGACCGTATCTCACACTGCCAAATTTACCAGTCAACTTTGTTTCCTTTCTATTTTATTACTATGTTTTGTTTACTGTATCTCAACAGTTTTGGTAAACAGGGCCCCCCACCCTCACTAAAAAAAAAAAATTGCCCACAAAGGCATTAAGACTAAGGGCTAAAGGCATACAGCCTCAACGCTTGGGAAAACCTATCATGTAGAAGGATGATACTCACAGGTGGAGAAAGCTCTAATAAATCTTGTATTCTATTCAGAATATCCTCAATGAAAGGATTCATTTGTTTACTGAATAAAGGCAAAAAGAAAAACCACAATTACCTAAATTACAGTGCTTGGAAAAGTGCTAAAATACCAAATCCCCCTTTAAGGCAAAATTAAAAAAAAATTTCAGTTCTAAGCTAGTCACGTGTGGTTATTAACACTAGCTGTGATTTTTTTAAATTACAACTTTACAAGCCTAAGAACGAGTAATTTTCATGCCAAGAAATGGTACTAGTAAAGAATACAATATAAAACAAATTAGGTTAAAAATGTATTTCTAAGGAATATCACCTTTAGAATTTCAAAGAAGCCATACAGTGATTCACAGCTATAAAATCGTTGGTTAAGTAAGTAACTAATATTATTAGTGATGACAGGCGAAACATATAAAATTATTCAAACAGATCAACTTTTTAATAATGAACAAAGTAGCTGACTAATGAAAAGTAAAATAAAAGGAACACCTGATTTAAAAAAAAGCCTTAGAACAGAAAGAACCAAATCTACAAGTTCTTAGAAAATAATTTATATCTTACTTAACAATCTTAAAAACAAGAATTAAATGTAATAGCTGAAAATTTGTACATACTTGAGAGATTTGACAAATCTGGAAAACAGGTAAGCGGTTCTACTCCGCACTTTTGCACTGGAGTGCCGCAGACCTCTGTGATCTAGGAAAGCCATCTAAAGGAACAGACACTTTTATTATTCTGCACTTATTTAAGGCTTTTACTGCTATTGTCATAACTTATTTTTGTTCACAGCAAATTTTACTTTTTAGCTCTGAAAGGGAAGAACCAGGCACACAGAACAAGTAATCTTACACTACACACAAACAGCACCTTGAGGGCTTGTTTTAAATGACTGACAGAAACTCCATTTTAAGGAAATGGAGGCGGGGTTAGTTTCAGTGTGTTGAAGAGTTTTTGAGAGCTTCTGGCTCTGGAAAAAGTTATAATAGATAGAATACTGTCTGCTCATTAGTTGAAACATGTGGAAAATAATCGAAGTTGAGAGTAAAATGTATACTTACTAGTACACCTGGAATGTGCTGAGGTTCAACTGTGAAAAACTTTTCATATCTAACAACGGTTTCGAAGAACTCCAATGTCACAGATGTGTGCTGATAGGCACTAACTCCTGACGTTACCAACTGGAGCAGGAAAAAGTTAAGAAATCTATCCTTATTTAATGCAACATCAAAATGTCCTAGTATTTTTTTTTAAACTTTTTTTTAATGAGTTATAGTCATTTTACAATGTTGTGTCAAATTCCAGAGTAGAGCACAATTTTTCAGTTATACATGAACATACATATTATTCATTGTCACATTTTTTTTTCACTGTGAGCTACCACAAGATCTTGTATATATTTCCCTGTGCTATACAGTATAATCTTGTTTATCTATTCTACATATGCTTGTCAGTATCTACAAATTTTGAACTCCCAGTCTATCCCTAAAATGCCTCAGTATTTATATTAAGCTCTAACAATTAAGGAATTCCCATTAGCTTATATAAAAACAAAGTTATGTTCAAATCAAATTATCTTTAGTATACTTACGGTTCGCATCATATCCTGCAAAGCACTAGCTTTTGAAACATCACCTGAGAAGTGAGCACCATGAGATACTGGAAGAGCTTCTGCCAACATATACAGCAATCTTATTGCTACTTCAACTTCCATAAACCGTGTAGTCTGCCAATTCCTAGCAAGGTATAATATGTCAGTGAGACCTGAATATAAACTTTCTATACAACTAGTGGTAAAGACACCACAAAGGCCTCTCTCTTTAAAAAGTCATAGCAATTGTTAATCTTGCCACGCAACACAATTCAAATCACAGAAGTATACATAACTGATATAATCCATTTGATTGTTTATATTCCAAAGGCCAGTGTTTCCCCCCGAAAGGAGCAAGAGAAATCAAGGAGACGAGTGCTTTGTATCAGAGATACACAAAAGATCTTAGCAAGTAACACAGATCAACAAGTCACCTGAGTCACTTATGGCAGAACATCATCAGGGAGAAAAGGAAAAGGATGACTTGTTAGAAAGAGTAACAAACTTACTGCAGCGTAGAACTAAAAACTCTGCGCACAGAAGCCAGCAGTAACTCTGGTGAAACTTGAGCAAGCCTGTCCAACAACAACTTCAGTTGTTTTCTATATTCCACAAACATGGCTTCATCTTCACCCTACATGTTAAAATTTCCATTTTAAAAACTTAAAAGACCTTAAAACTTACATAAACGATGAGTTATCAATAGTTTTCTGTATTTACAAATTTAACACACTTTGATTTTTTCATCAATATTTATGTGGAAAAACTTACTATGCTCAGCAACCTTCCCTCCTGTTCACAAGTAAGCACTTCTGAACATAGTCCCTAGACCATGAAAGCCTAGAGCCAGAAACGGCACAGGGAGGACGTTAAACGCAAGAGTCTAAGACAGGATGGGTTCATGCTGGGCTCTGTGAGAACTCGGGCACCTTATTTATACGCCTTATATCTCGCAGTCCACTGTAAAAACTGTAATAATATTACATGATTAAAAATGCTATATGCAGGGAGCCTGGCACTTTGTAAATGTATGGTGTGTTGCTGATCACTACCATTATCCGTTTACAGTTCAGAGTTTCTGAATGCCAGAAGTAACAGAACACTTTAGCACACAGCTACACAGCACACACCATGACTGAGTTGCTAGAAAGCACCTGAGGACCCTGACAGGAAGCTAACTCATGACAATCCCAGACAAGACTTTAACCAGAACAAGTCCAGAGATGGTTAAGTGCCTCATTTCCACTCTCTGATGAACACTTATGATCTGAGATCTACTGACTGGGCCTCAACTCATCACTCTTAGTAAATGTAAAGTGAAATATGATCACCAATAATACTGTCCACATTTTACAAAGTTCAATGCTACCAATTTTTTTTTAAAGTTGTTTCAAAAAGGGACAAAATACAAAAAAAATGGATTATGAGGCTTCTGTTAATTTCACCTAAGGTGGAGGTCAACATAAACAAGACCAGTTTTTTAAACTACTTTTTGTTTTAAAGAACTCTTAAGATAATCAAAACTTGAAATACTAATTTGATATAAGTAAACAAAATTAAAAATGACTTCTCAATGCAAAGTTCTTACCTCATTTTCAAAGTTATATTCTTCATCATAAGTTAATTTTTTCATAACGGCCAACATGATTGCCTAAAATTAAAAATGAAATATATTTTGTCAGTCTCCTTTAATTCCATATAATTTGAAATTAAGCTATACTTCAAGACAGACTATAGATACAGATTCTACTATTGGTTAAAAGAAGCAAAAAGAAGTCAGTTACCTCTACATTAGCTTTTTGCTGATCCGAGAGCACTGTAAGCTGTTGAAAAGAAAGCAATCACTTATTAGGTTTCCTCAAGTTGTACTTGCTTATCAAAGTATTTTCATCAGTTAACATTTTTTCAAACACGCACACAGCTTTCCTACCTGCCCAAGGCTTTTCTGGAGGGCTGTTTGCCAGTACCTTTCTGAATTTAAAATATACCTAAACTAAGATCCAGCAATTCTACTTCTAGTAAGTAATCTGCCATGTAGGCAAAGGTATGTAGAAAAATTTGATTTTTAAAGACACTTATAAATGTATTCAGTAAAAAAGGTTACAGGACAGGAAAGTATGATCCCACCTTGTTTTTAACAAGGCCCAAAAAAGCCCAGAAATCCATTATGAGATACACAGTGGGATCACCAATAGCAATTTTAAGTTTCTTCATAACTTGCCACATTGCCTAAAATTCCTTTAAGTATACATGCAGACATTGTTATAACAATAGAACAGAAGCTAACCTTAGTTTGGAAAAAAACTACTTGAAGCTTGACTTGATTCAACTAATTCAATGTAAATAAAACAGAAATGACTCTCATCTAATGTCATAATGAGAAGTTAGTAATTCTTTAAGTCTGCATGCTCTGGGGTCCCCGGGCTTCAAGGCATGAGCCTGCCATGACTCCCTCCGCCTAGCAAAGCCATGAAGCTTTCTTCCCTAATCCTCTACTCCTTCAAAAAAAAATAAACAAAAAAAAACAAAAAAAAAAACTACATGCTCTCATAGCTCTAATATGGGAGACTAATACCTTCCACACTTTCTTATCATTGGAAGCAACTCTAGGGGGAAGTTTATAATTGTAAAAAAAAAAAATTGTTTATAAGAAACAATGTATATGTAATTAAAATAATGAACTGTGTTTCACAAAACTTCTACTGTATTTAGAAATAAAACACAGGTTCAAAATTTAAAAACAACATGTAAACCTGTAACAAATTGTGAAGCTTTTTAGTCTGGTGAATTTTAGAGCCTGGCCATTTGTTACCAGGCTAAGAAGTTTAAAGGGAAAAAAAAAAGGTGGAAATACATTAATATTTGATAGTAAATATCGTTAGGTAGTAGAATTATGGGTATTTTTTCCCCTGTATTTTCCAATTCTCTACGGCTCTTCTTTACTATCTGCTGGACAAAAAGATTAAAATAAGGACTTACCTGTTTCAAAATATGAAGATAATCATAGCAAAATCCAATAATGTTAGACGAGATATCGTCATCCTCGTGAATTAGTAGCTGCAACATCAGCGCCACCTTTGTTTCGATAGCTTGTAGTGCCTCTTGAGCATTCTTGATATCCCCACTTTTAATTAATTTAGTCCAGCTAACTATTAATGACTGTCCCATTCCATTTACCAGTTTAGAAAATCTGGCCAGGAAGTCAACATCTTCCTCCTATAAACAGTCAATATAGACCTCAATTTAAAACCATTCACCTAAAAGGGAAAACTCTAAACTTCAGTATGAATCAAGTATCAGTTACAGGATCCAATTTTAAACTAACATTAGACATTTAACAATTCTGCCATTCTGATTGGGAAATTTTAAGAATCTGAATTCTTCTATTATTATTATCCCCTAGTACTAAACTCTTTAAAACAACTATTTTTAATGATTACAGTCATGTAGACATTGCTAACCTTTAAAAATTAAAAAAACAGATCTGCGGTTTCAAAACTTCCCCTCTAAAGTGTTGCATTTAGTAAATATGCTCTAATAAAGTTAGAGCTGTCATATTATGCTACTTGAAACAATTTACAACAATCCTTTCTGATACTATTTAATTTGAACCGTAAGGATGCCACAAAGAGACAGAACTGCTATTACAATAACCTGCCTCACTCAGGTCACATCAGCAGTAGAGCTAGAATTCAAACTGATCATTGTTTTCATTAATGATCCTTATGATGTTCTGCTATAGACTTTTAGCTTCAGCATTTTAGATCTTTTGCCAGGGACTAAATAAGACAATTATTAGCAGTGTAAGAAAACACTACTATTTGTCAGTTAGTAAAACGCCAGAGCTGTACGGCTAATATATCGTCAATACAAAGACTTCTTAGTAATTCTTTATCTCTGTCACAGGGAAAATTAAAACAAAACCCTTCAGATTCTAATTCTAAATTACTACACTTGGAGCCCTCAATCTGCTAGACCTAAACCCTAACAGTTCAAGTGAGTAATGATTCAAAGGTATGATGAAATCATAACATTTATAATTGAGTCTAATCTTGGTCAAAATGCACTGTCATGCTTCTTCAAGTACAGCCCATGAACCAGGGGTCTCGGCATCACCCAGTCTGTAAGAAATGCTCAACTGTTAAGTACCATCCCAGACCTTCAAGTTTAAGTCTGAAATAATCTATTGTTCAAGACAAATGTTACAGATAACATTATGGCTTTCTGGATACAATGTTCATTACTGTAATCTCAAGGAAAGTTTCCAACATTTAAAAATAAAAGAAAAAGGAAGCATGTTTAAATTACTAACTATCCTAGTTTGTTGTAACAATTTTCAAAACTTTATACACAAATTTACTGACCTGGTCAATGCTGAAAAATCCAGCAGACTGTAATACTTGACACAAAGATTCTACTAGTTTCATTTTATCAACAGGATCCATTCCTTTATTTACAATTTCAAATAAACAATCACATGCTTCTTCCCGTAGAACTTCTATTGACATATGACCTAGCAGCATATTTATAAACCTGGCAATGGGGAAATAAAGTTGTTACAATATTTTCAAACTCATTAGTTTTACATGTTGTATTTTACAAGGTTTTATTTTTAAAATATAGGTAAAACTTACCTATCATTGGCTATAAGGGATAAGTCTATCCAAGAGACATAAGCCCCAACTACTTCAAGGCACTGACATGTCACTTCTGAATTAGTATACTGATAATTTTGTAGGATTTGGTACCATGATTCCACCAAGTTTGGAATGCACTGTTCTCTCATGGTATCTTTTATGAGAGTATTCCTACGAGCCTCCTAAAAGATGAAACAAAACACCTGATACACAGTCAAAGCAGATTACCTCCCAAAATAACATCTGACATTCATCTCCTCACCACTAAACTTCCAGACTTGTTAAGACATTCTCTGCCACTATTTCCCATTTATCAGCTCTAAAATCATAACCTGTGATCCTATTTCCTCTATCCATTCTATTCCCCAATGCCAGTCTTACTTTCTTATCAAACATAAACTATCAACAGACATTTCTTAAAAATCTTAAGCATGCGATGAGTTATTTCTCAATATGTAAACATGCTTAAGCTACTTAAGAGAATGGTAATAACTTAAGTGAATGAAATACCCTTTAAAAATATTATAAATGTTGGACATAAAATGACCTTAAATTCTTATACACATTTGAATTAAGCTATTTCCACTGTGTTCTTTAAGAAAAAGGAGGAAGTTATATTGAGTAATGAAGAAATAAAGACTAAGGTGATGGGCTATGTGACTGAGAGTACAGCAGAGCCCAGCACTGATTCATAAGGAATGCTTCTTCCTCACTCAGTGACTAGAGAGCAGCAGTAAATATAGGCCACATTTGTCTATAAATTCATAGGAAAAAATCAATTTGTATTTCACTTGAAGAAGTGCTTGCCTAGTTTAAAAAAAATCTAAATAATTTCAACCCACACTGGAAAAAAAAAAACCCAAGTTTAAGTTCCTTTGTAAAATAAAATTTAAATGCTGAATAAATTTGTAAGTATTCTTAATAAAGTTTTATCTCAAAAACAAAAACAAAAAACAAAATACAAAAACCCATTCCTGCTCTTTTTATTAGGTGCCCATTATCTCCTATAAAATCTACATTAAAACTCAAAATTAAGGGGAAGTTACTTGCCTCTGATGTATGCACTACATCACGATCCACCAACTCTGAATCAATGGCCATGAGGATTCGGAGGTACAGATCTACTCCCCTTGGATTTAGGTCCACTACTGAGAGAATGTCAAAAAAAAACTTGGGCCATTTAGTGAGATATTCGGTAACAAAAAGCAAGGCGAAGACTTGGGCTGCTTTGTTTCGTATAAAGGTCTTCTCTGGTTGGGGATTCAGCATCTGATAGAGAAACAGTTCATGAAATTAAATGTAAATTGAAAAGACTCAAAACATTTTTCTCCTGTTGATCTCTGATCGACCAAAAACCCACCAAACTTCAACTTGGTCAAGAACAGCTGTGCAGCAAATATGCTTGGGAACTGCCAAAGTATTGAAGTGACTGGCCAGAGGGAGAACAAGCAAACGTGCAAAGGTGCTCGTGGATACTTCTCACTCTTACACTTTCAGAGAAAAATTTCATGGGCAGAGTTCTACTAGTTCCTATAATTTTTTCTAAGAAAAAAAAATTGAATGTTTTTTCTTCCAACTGCTTGCTCTTTAAGCAAAATAATTCTAGCAACACAACTACTTTATATGTTAAGATTAGCTAAAATTACTGAAAAAGAACATAATGTGAATGAAGAACTCTACTGGCTCCTTTGAAAAAGGTTCTTTGAGAAGAGGCTGTCCAGGAGGGCTCACTTTAAGTGTGAACAGAAAGGCTACTTTTGTCAAATAGTAAAAAAAAAAAAAAAAAAAAAAGTTAACATTTCAAAATCAATTTCCACCATTTGTCACAGGAAGATTGAGTTTCAGTTGTTGATACAATTTTAACTTATTGCTAAGTTTTCATCTACCCATGATCTTCAAAACCAGCACTTTCTAAAAGAGCTACATGATCAAATGGAGGATAAATGATTGACATTTCTGAGGTGAAGTTGCAAACTCTTGCAAAAACAAAACTTTAAATTAATGATAATTTGAGGTACTAAATGTAAAAACTATTTTACCTGAGCTTGAAGCCAAGATATGAGCGTCTCCCTAATTAGTTGTTGTTGAACAGTAGTTAGTTCTGAATATCTGTTCAAAATAGAGAAGAAAAATAATAATGGCTATATTTGGTGTCTGTGATTTTTTTAAAAAGTAACAGCCTCTTGTATATTTCAAAGAGAAAATTCATATAGCACTCAGTGATCTAAAATTCCCTAAAGGAAATTGATAATACCTCTCACCACTGCTTTAAAGATGGGGGTGGGTGTGGCAGGTGGGGTATCAATACTGATCTCAGTTTGATTTGTGGTTTAGTTCATGTTAAAACAAAATGGCAGCTACATATTTTTTCAAATGGAAATATGTCCATGTTCTGAGGTCTGCGGTTTACAGAATAAGCCAACAGGCAAACTAAGGATCCCTCAAGTAGCCATTCATTGTTTTTGTTTAATTAAGGCACAGATTCTAAATACCACTGCCCACACTGCCACTCAACTCTAACAGAGAGTAGTCATGTAGAGAAACAGGCTTGTTGCTAGATCTGATTATTTCCAGAGAAGCTGAAAATCTTTTTTTCTGTCAAACAGCTGGATTTTTATACGTAACCAATGAACTCTATTATTTTTAAAACACTTTGGGATAAATCAAAACGCATCTATAAGCTGGATTTGACATACACTGTCAATTTATAACCTATGTTATAATGTCCCCAAAAGGAAAAAGCTAATTTAAAAAATGACCTCTCCCCATAAATCTTGGTGAGAAAAGTCTTACTTACTTGTATTTAACTTGATGTTCCAGTACTTGAAAGCAGAAAAACTTAATGTGATCATCACTGGGGGGGGGGGGGGAGAAAAAGAAAAACTAGGTAAGCAGAATATGAATTGGGGAAAACAAATCAAAGGTTAAATAGTAATGAATAACACAGTTGAAAAGTTTCTCAAACTAGACCTTTGGCTTGCTTTCTATTTATTGCTCTCAAGTATAACACTCACAACCACTTGTTTAAAAAGCTAAGAGAACTTTATTATACAATATTCAGTGTTTTAATTTAATCTGGCAAGCAGAATAACCTAAATAAATAAACAAACGAACGAACAAACAAACAAACTTTGCAAACAGAAGGCATTCCTCCTAAATTTTAGATGTTAGAATTCCTGGAACAACACCTACACTTACAATAAAAAGGTTAGGTCTAAAGAGACAAATGGTAGAATAGCCAGAGACTGAGTCACATCAAGGATGGTCAAAGTCATACTTAGAAGTTCTGTTGCAGCCAAATGCAAAAAACAGTCACCTGGACTGGCAGTCCAGTCTCAAAATTCAAACAGAAAACCACATTACAAATATACTGCTCTTATAAAATGGGAGTAAAAATCAATATCCACCAATTACCTACTTCCAACTGTCTCTCAAGGGGTGATGGCAGAGTTGCACTGAGCCAGATACAAACACTGATCAAGCCCTTCAGTGAACAAAAATCTGTTCATCTTAAGACAGTTGGTGGGTGGAGGGTATAGCTCAGGGGTAGAGCGCTTGCTTAGCATACAAGAGGCCTTGGGTTCAATCCCCATCACGACCATTAAAAACAAGTAAAGGAGCCTACATTTATAAAGCTAACTAGTCAATACAAGAATGGAGATGTTACCTTCATTTAGACTATTATCAATTAACCAAACAAAATAATTCCACACTTAAGAAAATGAAACTTAAGTTTTAAAAGTTACATTTAATTAGCATCTCTTCCAAGACCTTAGGGTTTCTATTCTTACCACGGATGGCACTGAAGCTTAACTAACTATACAAGACTTCGATCTTCCATTCAAAATATAAACTATAGGGAGTCTTTAGTTAAAAGCCAACCCTTATTTACTCTACGACATACAGATGTTCTCAAACCCAGCTTTCACTAAACTGGAGCACTTGCTTTTGGCTATAAATTGTAGTGACTGATACTTACAGCATGCCAAGAACTCTAGCTGGGAGCCATCACTGACCCCGAAGAATTTCTACTCCCACTCGTATAGCTGTTTACAATTGGCAGTTGTGTTTCCACAAGCCTCACTATGTCAGCTGCACTTCTTTTGTATTTGAGTAAATTAATTATTATATAAACTAATGAAATGAGTATGATCACAGTTCCTACTTTTGTAAAAATTAAGTTGAATGCTTTAGAAAGACTTCACAGAAAGTCACACTGCAATGGGAAAAACCCTGTACGTATGTCATGTGGGCCAAATGACCAGAAGACCTGGAGAGGTGGGAACAAATAAATAAAAAGCTTAGTAATCTGCACTCATCGTTGCCCAACCCACTATAGGAACCCAAAGTGGAAATAGTAGATGATGAATTATGGGTGTGATCAATGTTAAGAATGATGAAGTGAATGCTAGTGGCAAAAACACAAAGAAAACACCCTGGTCTGATATTAGAAAGATTAGCAACTAAATGTTTATATAAATTAAAAATTAAGATACATATATATAATTAATGATTACTTCCTTTACCAACTTTCTAGAAAACCAACTATCCTTCTCCATCATAAGGAGCTAAGGAAGTTTCTATTGTACTATATTCTAGTTGGGATCTACCGCCAGGCACTCAGAATAAGTCAAAGGATAATTTTAATGAAAAGTCAATTCTAGAATAGTCAAATTATTAATTTACTACTTTTCTCATTTCTACACTGAATAGTTTTCTAAAACATAAGTCATAAAATGTTTTTATGAAAGCATTTTCCAAACAGGTGAATGTAACAATCCTGTCAAGTTTACAAAAATCTAAATTCTTCTACAAGTCAGGCAAATTTCTTTTAATTACCTGTATGTCCTCTGGGCCAGAGCTTCTGCACACACCTGCCAGGCATCTGGGGAAATCTTCAACTGCTCAAAATAGGCCAGGGCCTGTTTTAAGATTGCAAAGCAAAAAACGCATTTGGAATAGTCAATCTCAATCCCCTGCCGATACTCAAAGTTTTCTGGAAGTAACAAACCAACAACAAATCAGTGACTCTAAAAAACATCATTTGATCTAATGTTTAACAGAAAAGCAAAGTATTTCAATTCTTTAATTATCTCTATTATGTAAGTTCCCTAAAAAGTGAGATTAAAATCGGAGTACAACTGCATATGAACTTTGGATAAGTACCAAATAACTGAAAAGGTCAAAGCTTTAAGAAATGTGTTCCTCATTCCCCTCTATTCTCGAATTCTGGGTCTCGTTATAAGAGCAAGTATACGCTAGAATGGATGCAACACCAAGTCCACATGCTCTCTATCAGGCTTCTGGGAAAATGGGGGTGACCTCTGCCACTCTTCCACTAGGATGCTGCAACTGGCATCAATGACAGATACAGGTTTCGCACATGACAATGGGCAAATAGTCACCTAACTTGTAAAAAATAGAACCAAGAAAATTAAATCATCTCTAGAAACACTGCTAAATGATTTTAAAGCAATTATGTACTGAACTACTAACCCTGAAATGAGTTAAAAACAATCTTAAGCCTTAGTGAAGCCTAATTTCAATTAGTATTTTTTTTAAAATGTGGCTTCTGCCTCATTAGTGATGATATCAATTTTATCGGTCTTGTCAGTAACTTGAAAAATGAAACAGAATAGAGAATATCAGAGTGTGCTGCACTTAGCAAGAATAACTTATTTTGTGTAACTTGTTTTAGTCATGTGTGTATATATAATATATTCATATGTATGTATGTTTATATTATACATACATATATACTGGGTCAAGATATAAAATTATTGTTTCCATTGGGTTAGAGGTTACAAAAAAAAAGGCCAAAAAAACCACTGTATTTAGGTGACAGTTTCCTATAGCATGTAACTATGAATGAAGGAATGGGTTTTCATACATAGTAGCCTCAAAGGCTGCTCCCACCAGCAGAGGACCAGGTAAATGAAGATGAGTAGATGAAGATTACCAAATACTATCTTAAGTGTAAATAATGTCTATCTTTAGAAATTAAGAATATAGGAACCCAAGCAGCTACAAAGTAATCTAGTTCAGGTGTCCTAACAACACCTGTTCCATGAAACCGAGAGTTTCCTTTAGAAATATCTAACAGGCCAGGGCAGAGGACAAGGCTGAAGTCAATCGTGCATACTGCATTGCCACCTAATACTTCACCTACCAAAAAATGGGAAGAGGTGTGATCCAGCTGCTAGAATGATCACTGACATACCATTTTCTTTAAATAATATGAAGTTTTAAGCCAAAGACAGATACTCTATTTTTCAAGTGACAACTTGAAAATTTTCAGTTTTTAAACTAGTCTTTGCATTTTAAATCCATGTGATACTAGCATTAAAAAAAAAATTGTGGAAATGAACAAGTCAAAGCTTTCATCATCCAGATCTTCTACCTCACACTTGCTTTCTAATGCTCTATTGTCTCTAAGTGGCAACAGAATCAGTTCAGCTACTTTTACTGAAAACATGTAGAAAACAGAGAACTATAGACAGACAACTGGGAACTGGGGTTGGCAGTCATTTATCTTACTACAGAACTGAATTAAGTTCCCACTACTCCTGAACTCCAACGTCAGGACTATCAGAACTCACTTTTCCTTAAGACTCCCTCATTTTCATCCTAATCAATTGTTACTCATGTTGGCTTAATGGGATATCAAATTAAGCCTGGACTAGGATGCTTAACATATGCCCATGACTGATAGAACCCATTTTTGTTGATGAAAAGCATATAACTTCTAGATCAAAACCATCATCAATCTGAAAAAGAAAAGCATTGCACATTAAAAAAAAAAAAAGTCAGATGGTGGAGTTTAATTAAAAAAACAAAGGAGTTCAAAAAAGGACCCCCTTTCCCCCCAAAACCAGAGTTTATCAAAAGCTTTTAGTTATAATGACCATGTGATACCAAGCCAGACTAAGGTACAGATCTATGATGCTTCAACTCTGTGACTAAGGGTTTGACGGTAGGTAGCTTAAAGCCCCGAAATGTAAAGAAATATTTGTCCACACACAGAAGACGTAGACTTTTAATGACTTTTCATGTCCTAACCAGTTTGATAGGCATCCTGTAATTAGTTAGATATTTAAACCTCAATTCCTGTTATTTATCTCTGTCTGAAGGACTGGTTACTTCTTTTAATAGCAGAGGCATATACATAGTACTATGCTGGAAACCACTCAAGATTTCTTTTACTACTTAAAATAATTCCCACTTAGAAGTAGAAAAACTGCTACATTTTGTGAGATTGTTAATCTGATTAGCTCATTTATAAGAAATATCCTTTACTATAAGAAGTAGAAAGAAAATACCTTGTCTTCCACTTACCTTATACTTCAAACCACTCACACGTCTTTTAAAATTTTAATTAGAGGCTTGTTCTTTAGGTTTTTCTTTTATCACTCAGCTACAGTCATGATTACAGGCATAGGCTGCATTATGTTTAATTGTTTATACTTACTCAAATATCCCAGCACCCCATAAAGGATTCTTTGTCATGTGATCATTTTATGCAACCTGAGACATGGCATATTAAACTGCTTATTTACATGTCTGCCTGGACCAAATAGCAAGGATGTTAATTATCACTAACATGAGCACTAAACTTGTTTAGACCAAGCCAAGCAATGGGAAAATATAATATGTAATAATATGTATGGCTGCTACTATGGAAAATCCCTTGAACAATCCTCTGCATTACAACTTTTAAATAATTAGAAATGATTATTGAGACATAGAGAGCTGCCTTGAATTATCTAAGATTTTAATAGTTCAGTCAACTAAAGAGAAAATAAATCATAATCACTCACTGTTTCTGTATTCAGAATACATTCAAAAACCTCAGATTTGTTTCTCTATTTATTTCTACCCAAATTAAACCTTTATCAGATGTAAATTTTTGATTCAAGTCCTCTAATGCAAATCTTTACATAACATGCTTTAAAAAATGATTAAGCCGACTTAACTTACCCTTTGCCTGAAGTCTGAATCAGCATTTGGATTTAGCCCTAGAAGAGCCTGTTCATCCATTCCTGCTGCTACACTTGGAGTTTTCTGATCACAACAGATGTGCCCTCTGATTCCACAGAAGAATCCACAAACATCTGCACACACGTATAGAAAATTGAAAGAAAACAACACTTGATAAACAAAACAGATAGATAACATTAAGCAAAGAAGTTTAAGAGTTAAAAGAACTTCTTTTCTAACTATCCGAATCACAACTAAAGGAGCCTAAGTCTCAGAAGAGTGGGCCTGCTAGATACTCCGTTAATGTGGAATTTTTAAACATCTAAGGTTTGCCATTTTCTTCTTCAATATCATCAAAAAAGTTAGCAAGTAATTATTTTCCACTTGAAATAGAAGCATCCAATTTATGGAGTGCTGTTACCTACTACTGCCAGCAAAGTACAATTGTGCACTATATTAAGTAAATAAAAAAGACAAATCCAGAGGTTATCTTATTATACTAATTATTATAATCTGCCTACTGCCATTTATCAATAGCACAAACCTTAAAAAAAAATTAGAATGGCTGACCAAATACTGCCCTCAGAGTGCAACATCCTTATTGGAGAATCTACCAAGTACTTCAGAAGAAGTCAAACGAAAAAGGAGAAGAGTGAAAAATAAGTCATTTAGCTTTTGAACAACGGGCTAGCTCTGCCTTTTACGGATCTCTGCTCTTGCCAGCCCAATTCCAGAAATGTATTTCAAAAAATATTTTTTTAATAGTAGCTATAAAAATCAACAATTTAATGCTGACTACTCTTACTTAAGAACTTTTTAGTCTCTGGAAAGTAATGCACTTTTTCACAATATAGGGTTTAATATTCTCAAATAAGAACGTGATCAGCTCCAAAGGGCAATGGATTTCGATTAAATGTATTATTTGCAGAAAAAAGAAAAAAATTCTTCCTGAGGTAAGGAGATCAGGTCTTACTACTGCCATTAAAAGGCTGTGAAGCTTTTTTTTTTTTTTTTTATCATAACCAAAGAGAAGACCAGAGCCTAAAGAGGTCAAGAACCCAATGGGGATGGGCAGAGGGGGTGGAAAGGAAGGGGCTTCACAGCCTTTTTGGAATGGTGAGGCCAGGATAAGATCCAGGTTAAAGAAAAAATTCTTACTACAACATGCTTTTCTGTCTCCCCCTGGGCCTTCCTGAATCAAATGATGAATCAGGATATGTGCTGGGAGCCTTGGAGAAGAAAGCTTGGCCCCTTCTCTCACAGTTACCATCACACTTGTGGACTACATGGAGGCAGTGTTAACTCCCCACTGCCCTCAGGATTAAAATCCAAACACTTTCCAGTGACTCCTCACCATTCTGCACTCCAACCCAGCAAGACCAGTAGTATTCTGCCTTTCATCTTCTTTGCACACTCTGCTCTTTTCTTGTTACTTGGTTAACCCCTGCTTGGCCTTCAGAATTCAACTTAGAGATCACCTCTTGTAAGAATCCTTCTTTGACTCCTATTGTTGAACTCTCCCAAACTGGATTAGATGCCCCGTCTAAGTGCTGATATGCTATCTGCTTACTAGTTTTTTTTCTCATTCACCTTAAAGGAAGGAGTGACCTTCTGAATATTCGTCCCTATGTCCCTAGGACATAATATAACAAGTTTTGGACCTGGAAAGGCCAGGATTGGTACTCTAATCTTGTCATTTTCAAACTGGGGCCATGTGGACAACTGTGAAACCTGTGACAGCCCTTTCTATGAATGGGGAAAAGAGCATCTGCCTCATAAAGTTGTAAAGACTTCAATGAGATAAGGTATGTAAAGCATGCCTGGCACATAGTAGGCTCTCAATAGGTTATTTATAATTCATAAGCACATGGGGAATGAGAACTACTTGGAGCACTCTAGATTTATCTTAACATACCAGTAAACTGGCATTTTGAACAGAGGGAAAAACAAAACAGGCATCGGTTCTCTGCCCCTTTCCCCTCAAAAAAGACAAAATTTGATGACAATTCCCCTGAAAAATGCACACACAGAAAGAAGAGAATCCGAGTTTCTATGAATCTCAGATTGAGGAGTCCTATAAAAGATTCCTTGAATTTGGCATGGCTTTAGGGGAAATTGCATAAGCTAGGTCACTTGTATTCTATCAAGGAAAACAGCAAGTGGTCCTAAGGTAAAAAGTATCGCAAATAAAACCTAAGGAAACACACTTGTTACAGTTGTCAGTACAGAAAGAATCCCCCACGGAGAAGGCACTTGGATAATAATCAGTATGCAATAGTAAATTATCTACATGTACGCAAACAACTGAAAAGTTAACAATCTTTGCAAAAAGGTGACAATTTTCCCAATAAAAGGTTGTGCATGAACACAATGTTCTAACACGACATAGCCGTGCAGGCTTAAACATTTGTTGTAATGCGATAAACACTTCAATTATGTATCTAGCAAATGTTCTGGGGGAAAGCAAACAACATACTTAAAATAATAAGCTCTAACTTTTCGATGGATTAAATCAAAAATCAAAACAATTTGGAAAAATTTCTCTACACTGTTCAAAGATCAGGACTGAATCTTTCCAGCCTTTTAACAGCACGCTGACAAGTCGCTTTTACAAAACGTAACTTCCCCAGCAACAACTAATAAGCACTTTCAAAAAGTACTCGTTTTTTCTGGTCACAGAGAAACATCACGCTTCTCTACTCCTGCAGAAACGTGAAGGGAAGAGCAAAAATGGCGTGTCCATGCTGGCAAATTACTACAGAGAAATAATACTTTTTTCTTTTTTGTCCTGGGGCTGGGGGGATGGGGAGTGGACCAAGTTTGAGATCTCTGCAGTTGAAACTGGTGGGATACGCTACAACTATTACAAATGGTCACTTTTATTATATCGGGGACTACAGACGACGGGGGCCCTCCTCGGCCGGCCTTGCCCCCTTCCTTCCCTCGGATCCCTCCCCTAAAGGAAGCCTCGTGGCAATTCGGGTGATGAAACACTTGGCAACGAGCGGCCACGCACTTGGGGACGCGCTCTGCCGTGGCGGCCGCAGCTCGGACCCACCCCCACCCAGTCCACCCAGCCTCGGGGCTCACCGCCATGGAGGGCCCCCAGCCCGCACCCCTCCTCGGAATGGGGGCTCTCCGGGCCAGTCCTCCCGACCAACTTCCCCGCAGCCTCGCGTGGACCAAGCTGGGTCCAAGTCCCGCAGCCCCCGAGCCCCGAGTCACCTTCTCTATCACTCCATCCCGCCTCCCCGCCTGCACTCCCGACGTCTGGTCAGCGGAGCAGAAGGGCGCCGCAAGCAGAAGCGGGGAGAGCGGCCCTCGTCCTTGTTGCCGTCGTCCTCCGCCACGGACGCAGCGCTAACGCCGGAGACGGAGCTGGCCGGGGCCGCGCGCCTCTCGCCGCTCCGCGTCCCCTGGCGCCTTCTCTTGCGTGGCGCCGGGCCGGCAAGCTACCAAGCAAGCGGGCGGGGTCGGAGCCCCAGGAAAGGAAAGAGCGCGAGGGCCGGCTAACGCCGCCGCCGCCGTCGCCGCTGAGTCAGCGCGAAGCGCGCTCCCCGCGTCGGCGCCGCGCGGACCAAAGCCAGCAACCTCATGGAGCGTGCGGACGACAGACCGCAGGCCCGGGCCGGGCGCCTACAATTCCCAGCATGCAACGTGCAGCCGGCGCTTCCGGGCGGTGGGTCGCACAAGCGCGTCGGGCGCTTGCTGGGAGGCGTGGTCGCCGGGGCCCGCGATGCATGCCGGGATGGGGCGTCCGGCGGGGATGGGGCGTCCGGCCCGAAACCCTCCCTGCTGTTGAATGCCTTGTAGCTTCTGCCCCGGGATGGGGACCCGCTCACCTCACACACACACCCCCGGTTGGAATTGCTTAGCAAGTTCCATAAACGCTTCGACAAATAGTTGGTAGATTAGAGTACAGAGCTCCCGAGAGCTGCCTGACATGATCCAAACCACATGTGAGTCAGTTGTTTAATTGCTTTTCTATGATCCCACGTGTTCCCCCGCATGAGGATCCTCCGATGAGCGCTGAAATTTTTTTTTTAATTTTCACTTTAAACGTACTAACATTTTTGTCACTCGTGAAAAGAAGGAGCGCATTCTTGGGAAGTCCTACTCATAGGTTTCTTCTGTGACACTATTTGTTTATTCACCGATTAGTTTATTAGTGAATAGAGATCGTACGAGCTCAACCTGCGTAGATTTGAGTCCGGGCTCGCCCCACTCCCGTCAGACACCACCCGCTCACGAGCTGTTAACCTCAGTTTCAGGCACGTTACGTAATCTATCTGTACTTAAATTTATTCGTCTGTAAAACGGTGGATGATAATAGTACTGACCTCAAAGGGTTGTTGTCAGGATTGAGATAATGCATGTGTTTGGCAAACAGTAAGTGCTCGGTACTTAGGTTTCTTTGTTGATTATTAAGTATGTACTGATAGAGACTAGGTTGCCCTCACAGGGACCACAGTGAAAAACAAAACTTGGGACAGGGGAATGGAAAGAAAGTAGAATAAAATTAATGTAACAATTTAACAGCTACATTTATTTAGTGAGCCACCATGTGCAAGACACTGTATTTCATCTATAAACTATCTCGAATCACTTTTGCATCACGTTTATAATTTACTTGTTTAAAATGTCAGGCTAGGATTCCTGTCCTATCTATTTCAGTGTATCCCCAGAGTCTAGCACAGTGCCAGCCTGTAGTTACAATTCAATGGGTGAATAACTGCATAGATTCGTACTTTAGCTGTGTGGGTCAAGTACTGACTTTGGAGGCCCAATACTAATTCTGATCCAAGTGGCTCCAAAGTCTGTAATATGTCCAGTGTATTCCACAGTATCATCCTAAAGAACCTCAAAATGCAGTCTGTTGTATTGTTACTGTCTATATTTGCCTATTCCATTTGTAAATTCATTTTGTGGATACTTCATATGTTAAGTATCACTACGAAGTTTATCTACAGCTTACCTACTATCTACAGTTTATCTAGTAACATTGGCCTATCTATAACTGTAAAAATTTCTCAATTTTGTAAACTCATATTATTTCGGAACAAATAGGGAAGTGCTTGGAATCAAACTGAAGAGGCTCTTGAGAGGGATGTTAAATCTGACTATTCCATATTCT